GTCCTTTTTAATATACTTGAGGGTCTCACTATAGTTCTCGGAGGTTTCTAGAAGATGCTTAAGTAGCCTTATAACCGTGTTTTTAAATTCTATATCCAGTAGTTTGCTTTCCTCCATTTCTTTCATTTGTGACTATTTCTTTGTCTCCACATTTTGGCTGCTTCCCTATGTTGAAAAAGTGGCTTTGTGTGCTAGGTGTCCTATAGGGTCCAGTGGCTCAGCCTCCTTAATTACCTGAGGTGGACACTCTTGGTGAACCCCTTTGTGGGCTGTGTGCACAGTCTTGTTGTAGTTAAGCCTTGATTGCTGTTGGTATCACTGGTAGGGATTGACCTCCAGGTCCATTGGCTGTGAGGACCAGTTGTGTCTACAATGGGAGAGCTTCTGTGCTGGATACACCCTAATGGGGCAGGACTTGCTTCAGTGGGGCTTTGGTGCTCACTGAGTCTGCCCCTTAAGTGTGTCTCTTATGGATGTGAAGAGTTGTAATCTGGATGGTCCCACTCTGACCACTGGGTAGACTGGCTCTTGGATCTCCAAGGAGGTGCACTTCCTGAGGCTACCCAGCAGGAGCTACAGAGAGATCTGCAGATTCCCTCTCTTTGTTTGGGGTTTGGAGGTGCCCAGATGAGGTGCAGCTGTGAGGTAAAGCAGGCTGCTGGCGAGCCTTAGGCCTTCTTTTGGAAGCTCTGAGGATCTCTGACCCAGCTGCAGTTTGACAGGTTTTTAGGCAGAGAAAGGCCAGGCCATTAGTATGCGAAAGCCTCTGTGCACAGCTTGGGTGGGGATGTGAATTGGGGGAAGGGGGGCAAGGCCTCTGGGAATCACCAGGGCAGAGTAAACAGCAATGGCTGCTGGTCTTCTTTGCCTGCAATAGGTCCCTGAGTCTCTGTGTCCCACAGCCCCATGCAGGAACAATAAACACTGCAAGCACTTCTGTGAGAAAACGACCCTCATATTCCGGCCAATGCCAGATAGTACAGTTTCTCTCCGTAATGAGTCTGGGTCCCCAAATTCACACCCGCAGCTGGAGTTCAGAGAAGTTGGGAGCTTATATCTCCCTCCCAGTTGAAAAAGACAACAGCGTACCAAGCTGCCAGCCACTTGCATGTGCCTCCATACCTCCGCACCTCTGCACTTCCTGCCGGACTCAATGCGCTTTTCTCTTTCCTTCTAGTTGTAGAATTTCCACTCAGCCAGCCTTCCCCTGGTTCTGGATGCTATTTGTTTTAACTTTTAGTTGTGGTTTTAATGTAGTTGTGGGCGGCGCAAGTTCAGGTGTTTACCTATGCCACCATCTTGGTTGTCTCCCCCATGTTTCACTTTTGAGAAATGTAAAATTATTCAGGGTAATTGAGTCAAAATGGCTAACATTTTCAAGTTATAAGAAAAATATTGTACAGTAGACATTGGTTTGGTGGTGTGTATTGACTATTCTAAAGTATAATTATTGCCTGACATGTACTTACAAAGATTTACTAAAAAGTCTATGTTGTTGCTTTTTCAGCAATGAATTGTCCTAGCCCACCCAGCTATGACAACGCCATCCTCGTGGGCTGGAAGAAGAACTCATACAAGCCAGGAGAACAAGTGACTTATCAATGTCCAGACTATTACCAAATGGATGGATCCGATGTTGTACAGTGTAGGGATGGCATTTGGATAGGAACACCCAAATGCAAAGGTATTTTGATGAATGGCTTCTGGCTTCATTAAAAATTAGACGCAGGTTCTGGTGAGGCCAGATGAAGGAAGGTTTATGCCTCAGCAGAGAGGAACGGGATGTGCACTGAGTGCTGGGCATTGGGGCCCCAGAGCCCTCAGAGTGTGACCCGGAAACAGCCGTGTCAGCGTCTCTGGGGAATCGGTAGAAAGGCAAATGCAGACTCACAGGCTCACTCAGACTCAGCATCAGAAGCTCAGGGGTTGTGACCTTGAAACCGTTGTAGCAATTCCCAGCGGGCTCTACGCCCACTTTTGTGGGGAACCGTAGCTTCAGCCTCTCATTGCTTTGAATCCACCCGAGTCTCCCCAATGAACTGCACAGCGCTCACTGCAGTGCCCTTAAGCACTCACATTATTGGAGTATTTTTAGGAAACTGTAAATATACTGTACTCTTAGTTTTCCTCAAATTCTCTTTGGATATTTTAAGTGATCATCTTCTTTAGCCATGCGATATTCCACAAAGCATGGCAATACTTGACTCACTCTCTAAGAACCTGGCTACTCTGCTCATTTTCTAAGGGCCTAAAATCACAATTCATAAATATGATGTTTACAAATCACATTTGGCTGCCAAATAATATGTTTATTATGAGTTTCCTGGGTTTATAAATTCACTTTGATTTTGATTTTATACAATCTATGTTTATTTTACTAAACTTAAAGAAAAATGTTCAGAAAACCATTTTCTTAACTTTTAAAAAAGTTTTTTAAGTTTTTACTAAATTTATTGGGGTGCCATTTGTTAATAAATGGTGCTGGTATAATTGGACAGACACAAGCAAAAAATGATATTGGACCACCGTCTTATACCTTACACAAGAATAATCTCAAAATGGATAATAGATATAAATGTAAGATTCAAAAACCATAAAAATCCTAGAAGAAATAACATGGGCAGTAGAGAATCTCAGACATTTCTCATAGTAATATTTATTTTCTGATATATCTCCTCAGGCAAGCAAAACAAAAGAAAAACATAAACAGGACTGCATCAAACTAAAAAGTGTTGCACAGCATAATCATCATTTTCATTGTCTGAAAAATCTCTATTAACCTTTGAGAGAGGATGAAAAAGAAAATTAAGATATCAAAGATTGCTTCTTACCAAAAAAATTGCTTTATCTTCTTTTTTCAATCTTGCATGTAAACTTGTCAGTATCCCTAATGCACATTCTTGTTAGCCTATAATCAAGTGAAGATTTTCAGTCTCAATTGAGTCTAAATGATCGCTGCATTAGAGATCCATGTTTTTCCTCTTTATTCAGATGTCTCCTGTGGCAGCCCTCCCTCCGTGCAAAATGCCTTTATAGTAAACCAGAAGGCTAAGTATCGACATGGGGACAGAGAACGTTATGAATGCAGACACCCTTTGGGCCTCTTCGGGAAAGCAGAAGTGACATGTCTAAGTGGGAATTGGACAGACCCACCTGAGTGCAAGGGTAGGTGTCTCATTCTCCCCTCCCAGTCTCTGTGCAGCTTCTGTAAGCACTTGGTTACTAGACTCCTGTCCCGCTGGCCTTCATTGGTTACTCAGGTTTGTTGCTCTATCGTTTCCCGTAAATCGGTTTGGGGCCGGGAGGAGGTGAGTGTAGCTCCCACCTACTCCGAAGTGCCCTTAAAATCAACTGATCACTCAACAAATCAACAATATCCTCTCTTAGAGTCCACAGGAAAATGTGGGCCCCCTCCTACTATTGACAATGGAGACATTACCACGTATCCATCAGCAGTCTACGCTCCCGGGTCTTCAGTGCAATATCAATGCCAGGCCTACTATGAACTTGAGGGAAACAGGAGAATAACGTGCCGTGATGGACAGTGGTCTGAGCCACCCAAATGCTTAGGTAAGTCCTTAATTTCCTCGTGGACCCTGGGAAATCCGTGTAATGAATGTCATGTTTGCTGTTTACAACAGAACTTGAATGGACAATGACCCCTTCTGTTGACTACCAAATAGTAATGTCTGAGGGAATAAAATCTGAAAAATTCTTGAGCGACAACAGCAAGAAACAATCAATTTCCTTTATTTTAATTTATTTTCCCCCTTCACCATTTATGCCCCCTCCTCCCACATCCACCTCCACCACCCCCTTCAAGGATTCTTTAATGAAAGCCCTTGAAAGGATAATTGATATTGTATTTGTTCATTATAACATGCAATGATCACACATTCCATAGAGTACCTCGTTTTTACATCACTGATAATTTAAAATGAGTTATACCAACATGATGATTTTCAATGAATTGGTTTAGAAAAGGATTTGAGAATAAATTCCTGGATCTGTGTGGAAGATTCTATATGAAACTGTAAAATTCTGTGGAAAATATTTGTATACTACTTAAAGTTTTGTGTTCTTTTTTTTTTTACTTTCAGATGCATGTGTAATATCAGAAGAAATCATGAAAGAACATAACATAGAGTTGAGATACTCACATGCGAAAAAAATTTATTCTAGAACAAATGATTTTGTTGAATTTAGGTGTCGTCGAGGTTACTATCGTAGAGTGTCACCAGACTCTGCATTCCGAGTACAATGTCATGAAGGAAAAATGGAGTATCCCACTTGTGCATAACATGAGAGCTGTGTGGCAGTTTTCACATTAAAATATGCGCCTCATTCAGAATGTTTTAATATTAATCTCATTCTTCTCAATTTATTTTTCTAGTAGGCTGTAACTCACTTGTTTGCATTAATCACAATTCCTGTTAAATGCCATGTGGGAGATGTCACTGTAATCTGAGACCCACGGACCACTTCTCATAAGCATCTCATTAAAACGTGACAAACCAACATGCTGTGTGTTCTGTTCATGAAACGTCTCTGGCCAGAAAGTAGATGCCATCTCTCCCCTCCCTACGCCCCTCACCACCCTCCCAACTTTCTCAAAGCTTCACAGCTGTGGGGGTGTTTTGAGACTCTAACTTCAGAGGAAAAGATAAAAAATGCTTGTCTCCATCTTCACCTTAAAGTCACTTCACAAACACGTCAAAACCAAGCTGTGTCACACCCATGTTGGCAACAGATGGTAGAGGTTATTACTTAGTTTTGCTTCACTGTACCCCCTAAATGATGAAATACAACATCTACATATCCATCTAGCACAGTGATCGGCAAACGGCGGCTCGCGAGCCACATATGGCTCTTTGGCCCCTTGAGTGTGGCTCTTCCTAAGCCTTAAGAATACCCTAATTAAGTTAATAACAATGTACCTACCTATATAGTTTAAGTTTAAAAAATTTGGCTCTAAGAGAGCATTTGGTATTTTCCCCTAACCCAGTGGTCAGCAAACCACGGCTCACAAGCCACATATGGCTCTTTGGCCCCTTGAGTGTGGCTCTTCCACAAAATACCGATTTCTGCACATGGGCCACGAAGTTTCAATCGCACTGTATGTGCACAAAATACCACGTGCGGGGGAGTGCACAGGGGCTGTGGTCAACCTGCTAATGGTTTCCCTCTTTGGTAGATAAAACATGGTACCTCGGTGTAATTTAAGGTGCATTTTGTTAGGAAAGTGCTTCTTTACATTGAAGATATTTAAGGGCCCTTCCTTTTGGGTTTTCTCTTAACTTTCTCATTAAGATACCTGTCTCTTTTCCTATTATTTTTCCTTGTGTAGAAATAATACCATCATCACTTTTAATTTCCTCTTCTGTGATATAAATTAAACGTATTTTTCAAGTTGTTAACTGACTCCTGAGTTTATGTTAATTTTTCTAGACAGACCTTTCTAAAATTACTTCTCATTCTGTGCTTACTCTGTGTGTGGGTGTATATTTCCGGAATTCCTTATTCCCACTGGTTAAGGTGTTTATTATTATGACACTTCCACACCATGATAAACGGAGCATATTTGTTATCGATTTAGATACTTAGGAATAAAAGCTTCCAACTCATTTCTTTTTAAAGATAAATTTTAGAATCATTTGTCAGTGACATTTAATTTTGGTTAAATAAGAAAATTTCTCGGATCAAAATGAAAGCATGAATTAATTGTGGAGAACAGACATCTTAATGATAGGAAGTCTTCAATCCGCAAACACATGGACTTTTTCATTTCTTTGAAATTTTTTTCTCCATCTGTTTTGAAATTTGCAGTGTAGCAATCCTACCAATATTTTGTTGGCATTTTCCTTCATATTTTAAGTCTTTTAACGTTTATAAATGATAGTGTTCTTTTTTAACATTTCATTTTCTAATGTTTGTTTCTAATATAATGAAAATGCATTTGTGTATTAGTTCTAGTAGCTCTTTTTTATGGAATTTTAAAGGTTTTCTACAAATTTACATTTTTTTCTTTCCTTACAGTATTCATGCAGTTTTCCACCTTGCCTTGGTCTCTGGTGTTTCTCTTTTGAATATTATTTTTTCTAATATTACCATAACCATTCACCTTACACAGACTTCGTTCTTACAAAGTTTACATTTTCCAGTGTTTTGCTTTCAACTAGTCACTTTAAAAATATATTGTTTTTTTTTGTTGAGTGAGGAATGGAGAAGGAAAGAGATATAGAAGCATCAATGATGAGAGGGAATAAATTAAAAATATTTTAACTGATCGGCTGCCTCCTGCACACCCCCTAATGGGGATCGAGCCCACAACCCAAGCATGTGCCCTAACCAGGAATCAAACTGTGACCTCCTGGTTCATAGGTCAATGCTCAACCACTGAGCCACACCGGGCAGTCTCAACTGCTAATTTCTTAATATTTACATTGGTCTTCAGGGAAACAGCTCATAATTGGTTTTTCTCGTTGTTCAGGTCTACTTCATCTTCTTTCTTATTGGCTTGTCATTGTGATTTACCATCAGTAATGACTACCGATGGATGTGTTTATGCCATTTGCTCATTGCTTCTCATTTGTGCCACTTTTGCTGGTGTCCTGTAGAATCCGCTCCTTCTTTTACATGAGTCTATGCTTTTACACTTCATTTCACACAGTTTGTTAGTTATTAGATATCTATTTTTTCTAGTTGATCTAGGGCTTATGATATCCATTTTTGGGCAATCAAATGGTAGTTGATTATTAATGAAAACTGAGGGGTTTTGCAAAGCTTTTTGAACTTTGATATTTACTAAGTGACCTGCGTAAACTAGCTTCCCCTTAATCCACTTAAATTCAGAGCCGCTCTCGGTAACTCCCGCGGATTTCAACCCCAAACAGCAGCGCTCGCCGCACTGCCCT